ACCTCTCTCTTATAACAGTAAAGAGATCAGTTGTTTAAACATACTCCTTGTTTTTCACAATAAAACGAAGCCATCATCAGATAGGATATATAAGCTCAAATTTGCTCTATCAGGAAACCTTGTATCCAATTAATAATATTTAAAGTGTATAATTTCATTGAGTACGATTTTGGGCAGTCAGTAACAGAATCTCAAATTGAATGCGTTTAAAACAATAAAGCAGTTTTTAATCTCCATATTTGGGGGTCTAGGGATAGACTGGACTCCAGGCAAAGTATGATCAATGTTTCAGCTTCTTCTCTCTACTATTCCTCTGGCTCTAGTCTTCCCTGTGTGTATACTTGTTCCTCATGACTTCTCTAATGGCAGCCAACATGACTGCTGGCAACAGACTACTCTGCCTTAGCATATCCAAGGAGAGAGAGAGAGAGGAAAAAAAAAATGCTCCCTTACCTATGAAATAACATTTCTTCCCCAAGAGTTGAAATGGGCCATCTTAGGTCAAGTGGCCACCGTTGAACCATAGGTACACCACATCTTGATTGGCTTAAAATTGAACTTCAAAACCAATTTTATTATTAGCAAGTAGGATTAGATTGTCAAGGTGGGCTTTGAGTCAAGGTTTCAGACAAATTAAGATTCAGCTGTAGTTGAAAGAAAGCTGAGTCTCCTGATTCTCTTGGGTTGTGCAGAAGAGAAGTGTGTTTTTTAAAGCCAATGAGGGCTTGTTTAGGAAGAAGAGGAAATGAGTTCTGGATAGCCAATCAATGTGTTCACTACTTAACGGAAGGAATCAGATTGAACCTGGAGAATGGTGAAAATAAAAGTCCCCTACAGACAGTTATCTGGCCTGTCAGAACTCATTCCCGCCTAACCTAGATTCTTGCAGGGGGGAAATAGAGATTTTTAAAAGGCCTTTTTGAAATGTCATATTAAGCTCATGCAGCTTGGCCCCTACCCAACAATGATACCTAGAATCAAAGGCCAAAGAAACTCAGACCCTTTGTGCTGCTATAAAACTGCATTCCTGATTAGCATATGAATCTATTGCCATAGCAATTATGATGTTGTATGCTATCACTTCAGCACAGGATCTAGAAAACTAAAGGACCTGGGACAGGAAATGAAAGCCTTCTTGGTAATAAGACCAGATGGAATTATAAGTTCAGTGTTAAAATGATGAGAAACATGATGTATAAATAGAGGATCTTGTGTTTTAATGGCCCTTGAAAGGGCGATTCTTGAATCTCAACAAAATGAGACTATACTTCTTTTGATTTATTCTTACTTTCAACTAATTTTGAAGTAGCCTTCAACATTAAAAATCATAGAAAATAGGGAAATTAAAAAACAACTAGGAAAGAGGAGGAGGAAAGGAGGGAAGGTAGAAAGTGAGTGAGAGAAAGCACTTTGGGAATTTTGGGATGAAGACCTCATTTCCCTAATTTCTAGGCTTCTAAAAATCTGAATTCTGGCAAAATTTCTTGTCTTCAAGCTCAGAAATTTGCTCTTCAGCAATGTTCTTTCTGCTATGTAACCAGCATGTTGAGTTTTTTTAATGCTAACATTTTATTTCCAAGATGTAAAATATTTTTTAATGAATGCAATATTTGCCACTTTTCTGAGAATATTGTCTGTACTTCTGAAGTCCTCTTAATTTTAATTCTTTTCCTTGACATATATTCTTTTTTTCATTGAGTTTTGTGCTTCTGATTCATGATCATGGCTTTCCTCCAATGTTGGGTGATTCCCAGTTGCATACTCACCTAACTGTCAAAAATTCCTTATTAGTCTGCTGTGTTCATTCGACAAATTGCAGGAGAAAGAGGCCAGGCCACTGGGCTTGGGAGATACTTAACACCTCTTTAAATGTAAAGGAGATGGTGGGACAAACTTTCAGGCAGGCTGTGCCAACAGCTAATGATCTGGGCACAGAGGATCCATTTTCCCCCTAGGTATTACCAACTCTAGGACTTTGCCCCACTTCTCCAATTCAAATGCCCTCCCTCACTCTCTGCTCCAGCCTGGGAGAAATGATCTTTATTGTATATTAGGTTGAACCATTTTATTAGGTTGAACCATTGTATATTAGGTTGAACCATATTAAATTACCAATATTTGACCATCTTTAGACTATAAAAACAGTGATTTCACATAGATTAACCTCATATGATGAAGTTTTCTTGGTGGAAATTAGAAAATAAAGTAGGAGTTAGAGAAGAGAGCCATCACATTGGGTTGGAGCTATCTTAAAGTATTCTGTATTAAGTGCAGAACTTCCTGCCCAAGGAAGGAGTAGTTACATGCAGGAGTCAAAATGCCTGGCTATTCTCGGTTAGCCCAAGAGTCCACACAGTGCATGTGTCAAACTCTTCCTTACTTGGAACATCCTTGCAGCCTCCTTTTACAACAGTGCCCTGCACTGTGTACTTTGAATTATGGATTCACTCATCATTCAGATACTGCTTGTCTCCTTTCTTTCCAGAATTCATTATAACTGCTGGCCCATGGAGCACACTATTTATTTCTTATGGTCTAGTAGGATTATGGATTTATGAAAATATCTTTTAAGCCATTTTTAGTGTTTGAGGCAAGAAGAGAAAGCTGCAGCAAGTATTCATTCTGCCATTTTGAAATAGAAGTCTTTAAGCTCCTGTTTTCTCAGTGACATGAAAAAACAAGTACAGAATTAAATAGTTGTGGAAATTTTTTTAAAACATACTGTTGGTATGTGCAAATTAGACCAATGTCCCTTTTTTCCTCCATCCACACAATCAATCCCCATCTGTGATTGGCCATGTCAAGGCTGGATGATGCATAAAGAACAGAGCTTGCTAATATTCAACTGTGCAGCCAGAATTCTTTATGTGGTAGTGGACAGAGTGTTCAACATTAACGTGGTTTCTCTTTCCAATCCTAATAGTACAAATTGCCAAAACCCACAGGATCTAGGCTCTTGTCTTGGAAGACTTGCTATCATTTTTCATGCACTGTTAAGACCATCGAGCTTTGAAATTAAGGAAGTAATGAGAATCTTACAACTCAGCAATATAGATGTTATCTCCATTCAGCATGCGAGGAAACTGAGGCTCAGTGAAGTTGTTCCAACTCATAGGGCTAATTTGAGAGTTAAATAATGAACTTGTTTAACCAAAGTCTGCCTCCTTGGAGTCAAACATTCTTTATGTAGTGCTGCACTTAATACAGAATACTTTAAGATAGCTCCAACCCAGTGTGATGGCTCTCTTCTCTAACTCCCACTTTATTTTCTAATTTCCACCAAAAAAACTTCATCATATGAGGTTAATCTATGCGAAATCACTGTTTTTATAGTCTAAAGATGGTCAAATATTGGTAATTTAATATGGTTCAACCTAATATACTTTTTTTTTGAGACAGAGTCTCACTCTGTTGCCCTGGCTAGAGTGCTGTGGTGTCACCTAGCTCAAGCAACCTCAAACTCCTGGGCTCAAGCAATCCTCCTTCCTCAGCCTCCTGAGTAGCTGGGACTATGGGCATGTGCCACCATGCCTGGCTAATTTTTGTCTATATATTTTTAGTTGTCCAGCTAATTTCTTTCTATTTTTAGTAGAGATGGGGTCTCACTTTTGCTCAGGCTGGTCTCGATCTCCTGAGCACAAATGATCCACCTGCCTCAGCCTCCCTAAAATACTGTCTTTAATTATATAACAGGATGGGGCTGTTGTTATTCTTTGTAAGCCAAATGCTTACAAATTCCTCACAGAGGTTACTTGAGCTTGTTGGAAATGTACCTTGATAATCCAGTTTGAGGTAGGAAGATCCTCCAGAGTTTCTGATGGAGAAATCAGTTTGCCCCTGAGATGGAGGGGTGATGAAGCAACAAGAAGCTTGCCACAGAGTAAAAACTCTGGAAATTAGTGGAAATCATTACGAGGCTACTGCTTCCTTAGATCAAGAAAATGGATGTTTGATCCCAATCCTATCTAAATCTTGAGAATAAAGGAAGCTCCAGCTGGCATCCCAGATACTACCATCCCATGTATTTCTTGAGAGTAGTCAGCACCATGAGTCAGGAACCAAAGCTGTGTTTACTCACATGACAGTGGTACGCATTCATTAGGCATTCATTGAACTAAAGAACAATCATCCCAATTATACTGTCAGTATTTTCCTGGATGTCACATAAGATGATCTGAATTTTCTACAATGCCTTAAGCATTTGCTACAAACTTGAAAGGCATTCATTTAAAAGTTTAGATTCTAATTGCCCTGTCTATCTGCCTCAAGGATGGAAAAAAAAAAATACTCTGCCAAGATATGTAAATGAACCTTTGTCCCAGGGAAAATAAAATCATAAACTAATAAACTGGTCACACAAGGTAATGGTGCCACTCATTTTGATTGCTAAATGTACTGGGCAATAGCAAGCCTCAAGCACTGGGGTGTCCATCTCCTCTCTCATTTAAAGGTGAGGTCAATGCTAAGTGTATGAAGTTTTATTCTACAATATTTTTAGTGACTTCCAAGAACTATGTGGGTTCTCTGAGCATGTGTGTGTGTGTTCCTATTTATTTCTTGGTTATATGTGTATATTATGCCTTTTCCAATAATGTGTAAGTTTCTTAACTATAGAGGTCTACTTTTCCATTTCTTTAGTGTTTCCCCTGCAGTATATTTCCTTCTGATGACTGTTTTAATAATAATAAATTGATAATAATTAAGTTTAATTTTAATCTATATAAAAGATTAAAAGAGTATTTTATAGCAGAAGCTAATTTTAAAATATCATTCTAAATTTTTAACTAGATTTTAATAGAGAATGGTACAAATTGAGGAATCTCTTAATATTTAATCCCTCATTATTATGAACATTTTAAGATATGCCTTTGTTTTATGTTTAAGATAATGAATCATCTGTATTATTATTATTATCACCATCATGCAGTAGCATTATGATATTTAGTGACTAATAAACCTACTCAATTTAGGAAGACATTTTAAAGAAGACAAAAACACTGTGAGATTAAATAATTTATTACCATTGCTAAGATGAACACATATACTTAATACTCAATTTTATGCAGAACTTTAAAAAAATAGTTTTAATACAGTATCAAAATTTACACAAGTATTTTGTCAAAAGACCAGTGTCCCTTGTATTAGCTTCTGCAGGCTCTGCTGCAGGCACAAAAACTTGTTTTAAATGTCTTCAGAATGTAGGAATACAACAATTTAAAGATGAAAGCTTTCCTAGGAGAGAGGGTAAATATAGCAAGCAATTTTCTCTTACAGAGTAATAATATTTAAAAATATAACATTTTAAAAGAAAAAGAGGCTTAAACTGTAACCCAGTTACAATAATTAGAGAGATAATTCCATAGTAAATTAATTCATAAATATTTTCTGAAAATAGAGGGCTGAGTTTTCATCACAGTAATATTTTTAAAAGTGTAACAAAATTCCTTCACATTCTCCCACCAGTGACAATTAATACATTGTGTAATGAGCCCACTTAAACACAACAACAACAGAGATTATCTGCTATGAATCAAATCTCGATAATTTAGAACATATCCAAAAACTGAAAATTGTTGCATTCCTACTTTTATAATCTTAAACTACAGTAAAAATGTAACATTCTGCCAGAGGCCTCTTGCACATTCATACAAGAAACTATCATTGCATTTGGATAAACACAAAATACCTATCATAGCATTTCCAATACACACATTCTAATATTTTTCATATATATGTATGTATGTATATATATATATAGCAAAAATAAGAAATAAACTAAGCAAAGCTAGCACACCTCTTTTTCAAACCTCAAGCAATCTGAATGAGAGCTTTTAGTCTCAATAAGGAAGGACATGCGTCAGTTTCATAAAACGTTAGATAGCTGCAGGAGGCAAAGAAAGCTTTTTTCATAAATGCAGTGCAATATTTTAAAGTTTACATAAAGTTTATTAAATATACAGCATGTCTAGAAACTAAATTGTAGAAATTGACATTTCACAGCTCGAAACACTTAGAAAAATGTTTGCTTGTTTTTTAGTTGAAATTGTTAATATTAACATCAATGGATACACTGAATGAATATGAAGGTTGGTATGTCACCAAGATGCATCTTTATGAGAAACTCATCAAGATAAAAAAAAAAAGATATATTTATTTTGATCAATTGAAATAAATGGTACTCTCTGATAAGCACTGTAGAAAGTCTTGCTGTGTTTCTAGCTGGTAGGGGGAATTTATGTGGTATTTTTAGCACCTCAAAAGTCAAAACAAAACCCCAGTAGTATAATCTTACCTTGCATCCAAATTAATTATGTGTCAGGAACTAGTATTTTGTTGACTGAAGTATAAGAGGTAGGAGCCCAACTCTTAGAATTGGGAAGCCTGAAAACACCTCTTCATATCTTCAATACAACATGGTAGAAAACACCCACCATTATATGCTATGGGTTGACTCTATCAAAACCACTGAAGTACCACGGGACTCTTCCAACTATATAGATTTGCCAATTATAATATTATACCTGGGGAGTAAAAATAGTTTAGTTCTAATGAAAATATTGGTACCAAAATGATGATTTTCAAAGCTACCTTGTTTGAGATTGACTGTTGTGGATATTGAAGTGAGAGACACAGAATATTAGCTTGAGGGGGGAAGTTGTACTGAAGGTTTTAGAGGGGAGATATGTGCAATGTACAATCACTCCATGTTATTCCATAAGTCCAGGTTTGCAGAAACCCACTCTTTTCTTCTTCTTCTTCTTCTTCTTCTTTCCTTTGATCTCTTTCTGGCAGTGGTGATCTCATGTTTGAAAAACAATGATTCTCACATTGGTCCTTTGTACTGGTTTCCTGACAAATGTTGCCTAATTCCAGGACATGAACCTGCAGCATCTCCAAGTTTCTTCCACACAACCTTAACAACAACAAAACAAAAACAAAAAAGGAAGTAAGCATCTCACTGGTCCTCTTCCACAAAGAGATTTGTGGTTTCTAAGGGGAAACTATGAGAGAGACAAAGATGGATGTGAAGACAAGAGAGAAAATATCCATATGAATGAGTTGCAAACACAAAATGAAATGTGATGAAAAGCTTCAGAAACACAAGAACCGCTCAGTAGATGGGACTACTACACCTTGTTAGCAATTAGGGCTAAAATTAAAGAATGATGTGCCAACTTACGCTAGTATCATAAGTGGTCCTCAATTCTAGAGACACACAAAGCCCCTGGGGACCTCAAACAGTAACTCCCACCAGCAGAGATTCTGATTTCACTGGTGGAAGAGTGGCATGAGTAACTACTTTCTTTAAAAACTCCCCAAATGATTCTAACGTGTAGCCAGAATTAAGAACCCTTTAGTAAGATCATTCTGGTTCCTATAACAAAGGATATAAAAGTATTTAATCCAGTGAGGAAAATGAAGGAGCTTTTTGTTCTTCAGCTATTTTAAGTCCTGATCTGGTAGTCTCAGGGTCATTAGTAAATGTCCCTGGGTTTCTCCACAAAGTGGGGGCCTCCGTTGTCGCAAATCTTAGCTACCAATTCAAGAATCGTTGAAAGAGATATAATTACAACATGTTAAAAAAAAAACATGCCGTTTTAGAGGGACATTAGCAAAAGGTAAGATCAACAATAAGTTTAAAACTACTGAATTCACCAGTAATATACCAACCCCTTAACATTAATCAGAACACACAAACACACACACACACACACACACACACACGTGCATGCACAAACACAGTAACAGCCAGAACCATACTAGAGTGTTTGACTACAAGGGTTTTGTTCATGTTGATTAATTCTACAAAAATTTACATTGTGCTCCAACATGAACACAAAACCAGTTTTTTCATCAAATATTCATAGAGTACGTTTCTTTTTTTGTTTTGTTTTGCTTTTAAATAGCAGTGGATACTCCATGGAAACAATACCATTTATACTAATACATAAGAGTGTAAGGTTCTGTCTGCCTTCATTCCTAAGCCAATGGAATACTAATTTCTATCTTTCAGCAGACACTACTACATGGCAGAAATGTCCTCTACTACATGGCAGAAATGTCCTGTTGTATTCAAAGTGAATTGTAATTATGGTCCTTAAGCATTTGGAAAGGAATTATATGGCAATGGATGACTCAAGCTATACTGATTGAAGAGGTACAAATATGGAATCAAGAAACCAATGGATGCTATGGATTTTTGTTTCCTAGCTCCTAAATACAATTACTTCTACCCAGAATATTTTGAATGATTTAAAAGCAGAGGATAGATTGGAAGACCTCACAAGGATCATAGACACAAAGCATAAAATGCTTACAACTCAAAAGCACAACTTCTCTTCAAGTATTCAAATACAGAACACAACAACCTTAACCCAGATATTACTATGTGGTGAAAGAAACTTTTAGAGAAGGCAGAACTTTGAAATAAATCTACAATACTAAGGTGGACCCAGGAGTGGTGACTTATTAGCTAAAAAAGCAAAATAGATGTGTGTTTGAGACTGTGACTGAGATGACCTGTCAAATACTTCAACTGTCCTCAAGGAATTTGCAATAACTAAACAGACAAACTTAAAATAAAACCATTACTACCAAGAGATAGATTTACTATTTGTTAGGGGGAAGTATATTTATTCCTGTAGCACACACAGTATGGGAAGAGTATAACTAACTTCATGCTTACTAATTGACATGAGGGTGCTATGAACAATAGCCTCTTCACTGTATAGATGCCAACAACTTATCTCCAAGAGCAAATATCAGCCAAACTTCTATTGTACTAAGTTCTACCTGAGTCTTATAATAACCAATCTCACATTATGAGAAAGCATCACATTTCTGTGGCATTATTATAAAAGTATATAGTTTCTCTAATAAAAGTCAAACGTTCTTAATCTTCACTTGTTTTTAAGAAACCACTTATTTATGAAATTTCCTTACAAGTTGCATTTTCCATTACTATCTGATATTTTCAATGCAATATCTTAAACTAACACTTTGTTCTCTAGGCTTTTAAATTGTTTCCAAATATAAGTTTATTTAAGAATCAGATTTGAATTTGTATTTTTCTCTCAAATTCTGTGGCTCAAAGACAAAAGTGGAGAATCATAGAATAAACATCCTATAAAACTTTTAAAGGTAAACAAAGAGGGCAGGTTTTGGATTTCTGAAAGTATCTTATATTATGAAAAACAACAACACTGTATGGAGTATTTTGCAGTATTTTTGTAAATACAGGCAAACAAAAAGATCAACACAAAACTAATCAATATCCAAACCAGTTGTGGGTTTCTTTTAGACTAAGAAATGAATTTTCTAATGTTCAGAAGTCAAAAGAAAGAAGAAAGGAAAAGAGAAAGAGAGAAATAAAAGAATAGAAAATGAACAGAAGGAAGGGAGGGGGAAAGAGGAGGGAAAGGGAGGGAAGAGGAGGGAAGGGGAAGAGAGGGAAGGAAAGGGAAGGGAGGGGAGGAGAAAGGGAAAGGAGAAGAGGGGAAAGGGAAAGAAAGGGGGGAAAGGGGAAGAAAGAGGGGAAGGGAGAGAGGGGGAAAGGGGAGGAGAGGAGGGAGGGGAGGAGGAGAGGGGGAGAGGAAGAGGAGAGAGGAAGCAGACAGGGAGAGAAAAGGAAAGAAAGAAAAGGGAAAGAAGGAAAGGAGAACCACTTTGGCATTTCTTTACAGAAATTCTGGCATAAAGCTCAGTGGAGATGGTTCCCCCCCCCATAAGACACAGTGCTTTTTATTCTTTAGGAAAGAAAATCCAAGTTCCCAAATTTACCACAATTGAGAAAGAGGAAAGAGTTGGTCTTCAAAGGAGATCTGGATATACTCCTCACTTCACTCTTCATTAGAAAACAGTTTGAGGAAGTAAAAATTTCTGGATCTTTGTTTCTTCAAACATAAAATTTGAGTGGTAAGGTTCTTATCTGGAAGATTCATATCTGAATCACCCATGGTCTGATGTTAAACTCAGACATCTGAATTATGAAGGAGCTCCACACAGTACTCTTTGGAAAATCACTGGGGATGACCTCTATGGTTCCTTCTAGCTCTATAATCCCCACATCTAGGCTTTATTTAGCATTCCATAGTCAATACAGGAGAAGCAGCAGGCATTCCTAGGTATGTGGTCAAATTTTTTAATTTGTCCAAGGAAAATATTCAAACTGAAAATCTTAAGCAGAGGTTGAAAAGCTACAGGAGGTGAATAGCGGTGTGTTTAGAAAATATGACATCTAGAACTAGTGACCTTTTGAAAACAGACAACAGATATGCAGAAAAGAAAAACAAGTGACTTGCAAAGGGTCACAAAAGAAAAAGAAGCCACAACACAGGCAAGCAGGAGACTAAAACTTTCATCTGAGCACATATAAAATGCCCATGGGATTTATTATGTAACATTTATGAGATTCCAGAAACGTCTTGAGGAGGTAGACACATGTCTGAGAATATCTGGTCCTAATAGACCTAAAGCTGAAAAACACTTCTAAGCAATTTTCATATCCTAATGGGGAAAAAATATGGGATAAAAGTATAATATAAAGCCAATTAAAACCAGTGTTTAACATTACCAGTGCTTAACCATGATTTCTTGAATTTAACAAATGGCTTCCTCCCCAATATTCCATTTAGATATATAAAACTTCACAAATTATATTCTTGGTTAAATGATACATCCCATGCATATTACTCAAAGAATTAAAAAATTTAGTCAGGGATCAATAATAAAATCCAAACTACACTAATGATTACATTGCATTTACATCATGAAAATAACTTTCTTTTTTACTGTGCTTCTCTCTGACTTCACAGATAGATTTCTATTTGCCTAACTACCTCTTAAGTTCATATCTATCTATCTCACTTTTTTCTAAGCTTATGTCAACCACTGATAGCTAAAGATAATACTCTGCACGGCATGAAACACACATATCATATTTATAAAGAACTAAGCAAATATTATCTAGGGTGATGGTGAATTTTTTTTCAAGAATAGTTACAAATAAATCTGAAGAAGGCTGTATTTGCTCTGTTTAGGACAGGTTCTGAAACACTGATCTTTAAAGAACTTAGAAGTATCCAAGAGAAACCTATTTATTTTACCAAAATTAGTAAGAACATTTTAGATAGTAAATTTAATATTTAGATATGTTCATAGGTTCTTCTGGAATACAAAATTGGGTGATCATCTCTGACTCAAATATTAATAAACCTGCAATAAATATATTAATTTTGTCTTCATATAAAAATATAAAGGCATTGGCTCATTTTAAAAACTAGGTATTAATAAAGCAATAACTAAGCTACAATGTGGCTTTCAACACAAAATATACAATAAAACACATTAAACTTACATTGCACATTTCTCTGACTATAGCTTTTTCTGTCTCACTAAGGTCATGTTCATACTCTTTACCCTGTTGACGATCTATAGTTTCCTGAACATCCAAGACCTGGATTTGTTGAAAAAGAAGAGCAAATTTCACACGGAAAAAAAACAAACAAACTTGTTAGTTATGATAAAACCATCAAGGAGGTCCACTTTGTAAAACCTTTAGTTTTCTCTGTGTCTGCATATCAGAGTGGATTAGTATATGGCAAAATCTTTTAAAAATAGTTGATTGCTCTGAAACCTGTTTGGAATGAATTCTAATTTCACTTTCAAATGGCTATTAAAAGCAATCCATTTTATCACTAATAGTCAATTGAATTCATTAATGTCTAAAATAATTAGATGCATTTACTTTGGTCATTAAGATAAACCTGACCGTGTCAACCATTTGGAGATGGTCAATAACTTCTGCTCCAATGTAATGATGAGCAATATAATTAAGTATATACCAAGCAGTCCAAATGATATGTAGACATGGCCTAGAGAAAAGATGACTAGAAAAGATGATAGCGACAGGTGAAACTGGTCAGAACCCAGGAAGATACACATGAGAACTACTGACCTCACAGTTCTTGCCTGGACATGTTCCTATCGCCTAAGAAAGGAATGCAGAGATGGCTCTTTGCGCTGGCTCCTTAGAAAAATATTTGAGCAACACTTTAAATATTTTTCATTAAAGCAAAATGTCTGGGGATAAAACATTTTTAAACAATTTTAGAGGCCTATGTTTCCACCTCTCTAAATTATCCCTAAATGGATTGAAAATAATATTCCTTCTAAAAGGTCTGAAGTTTTCATGCAGATACTTTATATCATACAAAGGGGGATAAAACTTTGACTTGATTGAGTACTGTTTGTTACTGTTTTTGATACCAGCTTATAAACCAAAGCGTTAATGTAGCATAAGAAACTAATGTTCTTTCTAAAAGCTCCTATAGAATCCATACTGAACTGTGACATAGCTAAATTACTTGGCAGTACTGTAGTCATGGCCAAGGTTGATGGCCACACCTGAAGGTGTCACCTGAGAATTTGTACCAATGAACAACTGAGCCAAACTAAATGACTTAAAGTGGGACCTTCAAGTTCATATTTAATAGATACTATCTGAGACTAGAGTTCTATCTTGTAATAAATAATAGAATTCACAAACTACTACTATTAATTTAAAATTTCAAGCCATTATTATAATATAGATACCACTTCCTTACAGTCCTGATACTCACCTCAGATTAGAATCAATTCACATTCTTTACATATTTAGAAGAAATCACTGTGCTCAGTGAATGCTCATAGAAAACTTAAAGAGCTCCTTGAACAAGCTCATTTGCCTACAAATTTGATTTGTAATGCACCTCAGAGAAGTGCACTTCAAATCAGTTAATTTCTACTAAATGAAGTGGAGCTCCAATTAATAGTTTTCATAAATTTTTAAGCAAGAGAAATATGGTATTATTACAAACGGGCTAATTTCTCATACTTAGTTACAATACTACCCTACAAACCATGACCATAGAATTTATTAAAGCCTAGAGTTTTCTTTGAAATCTATCAGAAAGTGAGGAACTGGGCCATTATTCTAATTGCTCCTTTCAGAATAAACAAATCTCATGATATAAATCAGCTGTAGATAGATGGCTCTCAGAAATAAAACGTGCCAAGTGGCTATAATTTTGTTTTTTACATTGAGATCTTCTTCAGATACATTTCCCAAAGACTATGTTTGCACATATTTCTGTTTCACAACACAGTGAACTCATGGAAGCAAACATATTTTATCTTCAAGGGCCCCCAGTTACCCAATAAAGATGCTTCAGTTGCTCAGTATCACTCATCTGCCAACTGAGGACACTTCTTTGTACTGATTATAACATAATATCTTCCTCTCTTGAGATAAAATCTTATATGAAAATTAGAGAATAAATTCAAAGAAAATTGAGGAACTCTTCCTTGCCCTCCCCTTCCTTTTAGGCCACAGGAACAGCTGCGCTGAGAAATTTGGAAAAGATTTCAATGTGACCCTCTATCGGATTCAAATTGCACTTGCCATTGAATAAGGCAACAGGCCGAAACAGCTTTCAAACGGTTTAAACAGTATGGCAAAGTGTTGCTTTTGAAGTGTGTGCAGACACTGTAATGCTACAAAATTGAAGCCAATCTCTGGTCCATTTCCCACTTCTAAAATGTTTTTCAGATAGCTAGTACCCGATTCATGTTCAAGTTCACCCAAATGCTGCTGCAGAGAATATATTTGTCAGTGGATAAACCAACAACCATCAGATGCAGGGCAGTGCCTGCCCCTCATGCTGGTTGTACCTTCCCTGTGAATTCCTCTCAGTTGCTCACTTTTTGAATTACCCCAACAAAGAGAGGAGCTGCCAAGTGCATTGCTATTGGGCCACTGACCACTACCATAGTTCTCCTACCTTCCCTCATCAATAATCAGCATATATTTGAAAAAGCAAACTCGTTTTATATAAATGAAAGCAAAATATACTGAAGGAATAAAATCTTCTGCTAAAACTAAATCATCACAACATCAAATAAACATTTTGAAGTTCTCCTCTACTTATCTGCTTTGTGCAGGCCACAGAAAAGCGTGGCCTACTCCAAAAGAGCGTGTCTGCAGTCTGATAATAACTCGTTTTGAAACTGAAACAAGAACAGTTGTGAAATTCATGTAGCAAAAGCAGAACTGAAGCATTCTACCTACTTTATGGCTTGGAAAGGTTTGATCAAGGTTATAAGTTAGGAAATATAGATAAATTTGGCACACAATGTTTCATCGTTTGGAATTGATAAAATTTCAAGGAATGGTCTCATTTTTTAATATGATTTTTATTGCCTGCATCAGTTTCTTCTCTTAGAATTGTAAGTATTTATATAGTATATTATTTAGTTATGGTGCTTATTTTTAAATTTTATTCATTGGAATGTTCATTATTGGTAAAGAGAATAGATAGGTGAGATTTTGTGAAGTCATTGTAAAATGTGAAGTAAAACCCAAAAAAAAATTACCTTATATATAAGATTATATATCTATTTTCTCCTACTCTATAAAGGGGTATCAATTGGAGTTTAAGAACCTAATTTGTACTTAGCAAAGAGTAGATTTTTATTCATTTTAATACTTTCTTTTAGTAAGTTGCATAATGTACTTCAATTGCATAAAGAAAAAATATGGTATTCTTCCATATTTTGACCACCTATTAACTCCCTCTATTTGAAGACATCCATGCTACAAACATTGCACGTAAAATACAATATTTCACACATATGGATATACATGCACAAACTTCAACTTCAATGCAGATAGATATGAATCACATTACTCAAAACAAATGATAAAACTAGAGATTCGATTATAAGTACTCAAACTCATTATTAGTTTAGAAAAATTAAAATCGCATTTCAAAAATTAAGATAAAAGGGTTACGCCATAAGGGGTCAAAAAATAAAGTATCTATGGTTAAAGCAAGACTGTGAGGACTACCAGACTATAGCGAACAAGCCACGACACAACTGAAGGTCTGGATAAATGGTTGTACACAGTTGGTTACCTTAAGAGAATGTACCACAGGTTCAGGCTGCTGGGAAGGTGTGGTATGTCCACTGAAGCTAGCTGGAGAGTTGGGTGAACTGTTACTCCCATCAGCCCCTGATGACAACCTAAAAGAACCCTTAGTAGAAAATCAACAACTTTGTTATTAAAACAAAAGTCGTTTATAACTACACAGATGTCATTCAATATTCAATTTCACTGCCAAATGAGAATTAGACTTTTTGTTACTTTTTCTTAGCCCATCTTAAGATGCCATAAAACCAGTTAATTGGAATGCACTTGCTTCTTGACCAGCAACAAAACTTAACCAACAACCATCTCTATACAATTCCAGATGTCATCTCTGATTTACCAAAGAGAACAATGTCCCCCAAGGAATGGCCCTTAAGAATATTTCAAGAATGATTTTGAAACTTAAAGATACTCAAGAGCAGGGAAATCCTGGGTTACTCCACAGCTGAGTTAAACATGCTCACTCAGCAAGCCGAATGACATATTGCATATGTCTCAGAATATGCAGACACATCATATTCTTGCATTAGCAAAATTGTGTTCCTTGTAAAACCCTTCTTTGAGGGAGAGACCTATAGTAGAGCATTTTCCAAAAAGATGTAATCAAACTCAATATTTTCTTTAAGAACCAATTCTCTAATTTTTCTGGCCTTTCTGAAAATGAAAAACAAAATAAATATAAATTACATATTTTAGTTTAGTGATTCTTTAACTTAACTGGAGAGAAACCAGAACTGAGCATGATTATTTGACATGTGCAGGCTATAGTCATCCCTACAAGAACTGGGAATCTCTCCCAGGAGTCTGCCTTTCTTCTAAAGGTTTCTTGGGGAAAGAATAATGGATTAGCAAAGAAAAAGAGAGCAGTAGTTATCTACTCGCCTAGAAAAAGCAGTCAAATGGGAATTTTCCAAACTTGTTTTTATATAGACCATTACACTATTAAAGGACCTGAGAGGTTGTTTTGTTTTGTTTTGAGACAGAGTCTTGCTCTGTCGCCCCTGGTAGAGTGCAATGGTGCCATCACAGCTCACTGCAACTTCAAACTCCTGGAGTCAAGTGATCCTCCTGCCTCAGCCTCCCAAGTGACTGGGACTACAAGTGCACACCACCACACCAGGCTTATTTTTCTACTTTTAGTAGATGCGGTCTCGCTTTTGCTCAGGCTGGTCTCAAACTCTTGAGCTCAAGCAATCCTCCTGCTGGGCCTCCAAGAGTGCTAGGATTATAGGCATGAGCCACTGTCCCTTGCCTGAGTCCTAAGAGATTTTAATGTCAGCCCCTTAACATATCTACAGATTTTTTCAAGTCTAATAGATTAATCACTGCTCCATTTAAGTTGATTCTATCAATCTAATCCCTTGAATAGGAGCCACTGAAGCTGTATCATATGTGAATTCATAAAGGGAGAAATAATAGTTTGCAACATTAATCTGCAGTATCTCCAGGAGAACTTTTATGCTGTATATTTTAGGGATAGGAGGGAAAAGCTTCCCACAGTAACAATTATGTGTATGGGTTACACGTAAATCATTATTTATACAGAAATTAACAATCCCCAAGGATTTCTGTTATTCATGTAATTTGAAATATTTTCTCCCTTCCTTTGTTGCTGTAATTTCTTCCAATGTCCTTGAAGGCTTCCTTTGTCACCTTGGAAGCCTACAGGGGCCACATTTTTTACCCTGCTCAAAGAGTTAGACCATCCATTCAGGTCCTGCCCCCAGCCTCACTACCAACAGGGAGAGGAAGCAGTGGAATGTGGCATGTAGGGGGCTCCTCCAGCTCCTGTCCCTTACTGCTACTAACACTTAAATTAATAGCAGGTGATGACACAGGACTGCTGATTATAACAGCCCCCATCCCTTCTGGGAAAAGAAATCATAAAATTTGTTTCCTGTATTTTTAACTCAGATTAAATGTGACATAATAATGTCTGGTACACCTAAGAGAAGGGAAATCATTTGAAGTTTAAAGATGATCAAGGACATACCCTCCCCTCACCCCTACACTTTGGACATCTTTCTCTGTAGTGATCAAATGGTTCCCAAACTAAGGACTTATAAAGGAAGCTCTTCCTCTGTGAATAACCCTAGTTCTCTACCGTTTTTTCCCTTCTGATATCAGTCCCCTCCTGAGACCAGTCTTATGAACTCTTTTTTAACCAATTCTGAGGTTACACAGGGTTCACATCAAACCTCTCATTTAGGACCTACCATGGCAGTTCTGACTTTCTTATGACTCGTAATCTAACTTAGCAGGCAAGAATCCTTCCCAACTCTAGCCCACCCTCCTTCCCAGTCTTCCTTTCAAACCCTTTTCTGAGTAGCCCTTCTGTTTCAAAGATTCTCTTCCCAGGCCTGGCAAAGAGACAGGCATATCAATAGCTGCATGCTTTTGCTTGGGCATGGGCCTCTCTTTTTCAGGGTTTTTTGGTTTGAGAGAATTTCTATAGAAATTCTCAATGTCAATAGCATCCTTTAATACAAATCATCTGGGCCATTAACCATTGTTTAAACTTAAGGAAATTCCTCTTCTGGTCATAGCTATTCAGAAACAAATACTTTTTTTATTGAAGTAGTTTCCTTAAAAAAAAAAAAAAGGCTACAGTAGGATTTTTCCTAGAGTATACATACAGTGGGGAAAAACATATTATTCAGGGATTAAAGTTCAACTTTAGTTTTGAGAGTCATGGCCTGGTAATCAACCAGAAAGATCAAGGTTCATATTTTATGTGGTTTTTGTGAAGCTGCAAAGGTAACCAAATGCCTGGTAAAGTTTAGCAACAACAGATGCTAAATAGTTTTCTAGATTATAACAACAGATTGAAGCACCTCATTCTGGTGTATCTCATTTACTACTATAAAATAAAAGGTTAGTTCCTATGTGCTTTGTAAAATCAGACTAATATTCGGAGAATTACCTAGGTTCAATTGATGCATCCTCTCAGCTGACTATTACATTTTCACTGAACTACTTTTTAAAAATATGAGTGAAATGCCAGCATACCAAATGATTTTAAACAGTCCCCTTGGAGTTTATCACAGTAAGATTAAACTCGTTTATTTAAATTGTACTTGGCTGGTTCAGGAGACAGGGAATTTAAAACAAAGAAAATCTTAATAAAATTGGCAATGTGATTCCTAGCTTGAGTTGCTTATTTTCCAGCCACTCATGCCCACATAATGCATTTATCACCTGGCCCAGGTGTCCTCAAACTATGGCCCGCGGGCCACACACGGGTTTTTTTGCCTGTTTGTTTTTTTTACTTCAAAATAAGATATGTGCGGTGTGCATAGGAATTTGTTCATAGTTTTTTCTAAACTATAGTCCAGCCCCCCAATGGTCTGAGGGACAGTGAACTGGCCCCCTGTTTAAAAAGTTTGAGGACCCCTGACCTGGTCAGTAGTCAGTTTGAAAGGGCAAGGAATAATTTTCTGAGCTGGCCTAGAGACATCTGATTTTCATGGTCACTGACCTTCTAAACTCGTTTTCATGAATAGACCGGGGTACCTTTGTTCTTCTCTCCTGTTTGGGATCGCTCAACTTTCACCTCCAGGTTCAGGAAAACAACACTGAAGAAGGCTATTTATGCGGTGAAAGACTCTATCCCCATCCTCCCCTCCCCAGATTTAGACATACAGCAATTTTCTTTCATGTGTACGAACTTGTTTTCTACCCGCCTCCCATCCCCCCCTCCCCAGCATAACTTTTCCTCTAGCAACAGAAGCCATGTGTTTATGCACAAGCAAACGCAGCCAGCTGACTCATCTTCACTCACCGGGAGAGTGGGCAGGCATCGTCCTATTCCTCGGCACCCTTGCCACCACTGCAACACCCGCTGGGCTCTGGGCCCCCAGCCTTTCTCCATATTTGAGCTGTTTCTAGTTGGAGGTTGCCTTCTATTCTGGGTAGCCTTATATTTGGAACAATATGGTACAATCACTCAGAAAAATACTGTTTCCCGTCTCAAGAAAGCAGATTAGAACAAGAAGCTTAATGAAATGAACCACAATGACCACAATGGCAAGCTGTAACATGCACTTTGTAGCTAGGGAAAAAATAAAAATAAAAACAATCCGAAGTCCTGTAGATTAGAGCTGATACTGATTTAAGTTTTTGGCATTCTCAAGCTATCAGAAAGTAGATGATAAAGTTGAAGTTACAGAAAAAAAAACTTGAAGCTATTTAAACAGCTTTATTTCATGGGTTTTACCTGTGAGAAGTAGTGAGTTACCATAATTCTTCCAAATATTTAGACTGCATAACTTCAGAACATAGCAGAAATTATTTCAAATACAATCGGGAGCACTATGTTCTTTTGTTAAGAAACCCAGCTGGTTATACATATTAGTATTGTCAATAATACTAAGAAAACTGACACTGCATCAAATTCTCAACAAAATTTCTGCACATGGAAGAGTATGTCATGAGCTAGGAGATCACCATTGTATTAAAATAACTATTTTACATAGGAAATATACATAATTATCAAAATTTCTATTAATCAGTTAACTCCAAAATTTCTGTACTCATCTGGAACTAAACATATCATGTAACTAAAGTCAAAAGAAAAAATATTCCTTAAATTACAACTTTTCCATCACCAAGCTATATAATCTTATTAAAATGATCAGAAGCAAAATAAACTTATTTGACCATGATTTCCTCTCCCTGCCAACTTTCATTTAGACCTTTAAGAATGCTATGTCCTGAGGAATAAGGAGATAATTTTTAAAATTACAGAAAATCTTCAAAATGATCCAAAAATTCTAGTGTCTAAATGTTGACCTTTATTTTAGGAGGTTGAAAATGAGAACATATTATTAAGTTCTCACTGGTTATTTTTCCTGCAAGTTAGTGCTCTATTCTGAATAGTATTGATCTAATTCTCACTCTTCTTTAACTTTTGGAGGTTGAAGAATAAAGAAAATGTACCATGGTCCTAAGTGAATAAAAAAATAAAAGAAATGATGACCAGCAGCCAGTACTCACAAAACTCTTTTCTGAATCAATGAAATCAGTACCAGTTACCTTTTAAATAAGTCATATGTACTCTATTCCTCACATATAACAGGGAAAATTATATATTGGCACTCGGATCATAATGAGAATTTCATCATAGCAACATAGATTTGAATATTGCTATTTTCATAATTATTTCATGTATAAGTGTCTAATTTATTTCCATCATCAAAAGAATTATCTCCAATAATTTATAATACAGTTCATGGCTTAAAATTCATCTTCACCCTAATCTGCATAGTTCTATTTCTGAGAAGATCATTAATGAATAATGGAAATTTTATAGTTATCACAAATAAGGAGATCTATCCATCTGGATTTGTCTTTCCATGACTTTTGCATGTCTCAGACCTCAGGCTTTTCAGATTCAACTAGCAAGTATTAACAGAACATACAGGAATTCTTACTTTCATTCTTCCTTAATGTATAGTGAGGCTAAATCCTAATGAATCTCCATTTTAACAAAGCTTATTACCATACCCATCTAAGACTATTTAGAACCCAGCTAGAAAGAGCAGCCATTTAGCTACTATACAGAGAATGAAAAATATTTTCCCACTTTCAGAAAGTAGATAGCACATAAAATAATGGCTATACTCTTAAGTCTCATAAAAGGTTCATTTTAAACATATTAAATATATATAATATAGTATTATTAATCTCATAAAGGAGACAGTAAACAGGTACCAGATTTTTACAGAAGGATAAACTACTAGATGATATAACCATTTTTAAGGAAAAGGCACTCTTTTAGAACCCAAACTATTATATTGACTTTCTAGTCATGTCAGCCATTTTTTTTTAAATCTGGGTACATGAAAAACTGTGTTTTGGGCCAGTCATCATCTTTGACCTTCAAATAAACTACATCAGAATGGTATTTATACACTAATGAAGGCTTAACTCTTTGCCAGCTACAATAGTCAATCACGATATTTTCTGAAGACTGCTTCAGAAAACTTAAGAAGCCTTTAATAACTCGATGATTGGCGTTCTTTCTAGCAACTCTGGAGCCAGAGTTGAAAATGAGGGAGCCCACACTCGGGCCACCACCTGGGAGAGCAATTCCAAACAGAACAAAGAAAGTCACTTTCTGTTTTCTGAGTTATTTTGGGTTTTTTAGTTTTGTTTTCTGTAGTGTTCTAAAATTCCAAATTTATAAAAAAGAATTCCTGAATGACCCCAACATTCCCATAGAAATGTGTGTACTGGTTAGCACTTTATACACAGTTATATATAAAGTAACCCACAAATTATTTTAGATACCAGGGTGGTTCATCCTAAGTGTCATAGTAAAGTAATGCTCTACATCAAGGTCACGTGGGTGGTAAATTATAGGTACGTGTATGGCTGTAGTATGAGTCAGAGCCTATGGTCTCAGGACTTCCAGGGGGTCAGAGTCTGGATGGTTCTCCAACTCCAACAGGGTACAACCTCCTGTGTATTTAAGCAAGACTTCAACAAGGATTTTTTAACTCTATGTTTAACTTCAATATCTACAACATTTCCCCTTCAAACTATAACCATTCTAATAATATATATATTTCTCATCTATTTATTTTAAGATGTAAAAGTTTCTCTAAGACATAATAGTTTCTCTTTTCCTTGTTGCTTGTAATGAGTTACCTATGTAAAGGAAGGAAACAAAAAACAATTTTGTAATAAAAATAGACCATTTAACTTTTTTTACATGGTCATGATGCTTCTTTTCTCAAATTTGAGTAAATTCATAAACCATTATTGTTCTTCATAGAAATAATTAAAAACACTAACAAATGTCCAATATTATATGTTATCTAAAATACATGACTCACAAAACGATGATCACTCAGAATTTGATTTGTGGTCTCTGCAACAGAGAAAATCACCTAAAAAATAAAGCTTCTAGAAAAATCCTTAACAGTGTTTCATTTACTAATGAAGTCAAGAAAAATGAAAGGTTTTTAAAGTAAAAATGCTTCCTGAAAAAAGTTTCATTAGAACTAGAAAAATGAAAAATGGATATTTTGGATTTCTTATTGAAATATACATATATGCTCACACACATATATGTACATATGTTTGTATATAGAGAAAAATATATACACACATTTCCAGTTGACTAAAATCACATTTAATAAAGTAATATTGTAGTATCATATAAAATTCAGACTTTCCACTTATAGATCAGAAGTAATGCACTTGTAACAAATTTTAGAGCCCAGCCCTCTTACCTATTATAGGAAGCCAACTATGAAAGCTTGAAGATTGATCAGCTAAAGTGGTTTCCTGTTACTTAAAGATGTTTAATTTTTAATAAGTTCTGAAGCTTGGTCAAACTATCACACAGTGCCTCAGATCTCATCAGAACACATGCCTAGTTTAGGAGGGGGAGTGAATTCAGCCTTTCCTTATTATTAGGGCAGGAACAAATGCTTTGCTTAACCTCATTAGTAAAATAATATTATATTTTGTTCATTTTGGCCAATCTTCACTCTGACATATTGTAAAACCATGCTAGTGCACCAATAGAAGCTCAAATTAGAAGAGACTTTAGAGGTCACCTTGGCAAACCCTTTCCAAGAAATTCCTGTGCATAGACTTAAAAATGCTGAGACCCTCTGCTTTACTCTAACGATATTACTTAGTTCATTATATCCAAAAGAAAGTGCATTTTTCACTTAACTAAAGATTCTATTCAATATTGATTTAAATATTAAATAATTTTCTGGATTTATAGATATTCATTCATTTATTTATTTAAGCATTTACTAAGCACTTATGAGAGGCAATATGCTACACCATGTAGGTCTCTATTACAACAAACTTTTTTTTTTAAAGTGAATTCAAATCACAGACCCTAGGATCACACTGCCTGGGTTTAAATTCTTTATCAGACACTTAGGAGCTGCATGACTTTGGACAAGCTATGTGATCTCTCTGTGCCTCAGCTTCCTCATCTATAAAGTGTGGGTAATAATGATACGATGGTATATGACTCTATGGTTTTGATAACTTATTTGAAAATAGCTCTTAAAACAGTGCCTGGCTCACACTAGTTCTCTATAAGCATTGGCTGTCATTATCATGAATGTTTTTGCTTTGCTTGTCAACACATTTTATAACTTGTCAATTTACATTCATATGTTTATTATTTAGAGCAGTAGTTCTCAACTGAGGCTGATCTGGCCCCCCAGGGAAGACATTTGGCAAAAATGTCTGCAGACATTTTTAGTTGTCAAAACTAGATGGTTTCTACTGAGATTTACTGGGTAGAGGACAAGGATTCTGTTAAACATCTTACAACATACAGGACAGTCCCCTTACAACAAAGAATTATCCAGCCCAAAATGTCACTACAGCTGAAGTTGAGAAACCATGATTTAAAGAAAGAGAACTATATTAGAAAACTGCAAAGCAAAATCTCTGGTGACAGTTCCATAGCAGATTTTGAGGACAAGTTGCCCACAGGGTTTAGAGCTTGAAGTGATTTAGAAAGAAACTCCCTAAGCTTTAGTCCTCAAGTGGTCTAAGTATAAAGGCATCCGCATTTCCACCCTTGAAAAGGAAATTACTCCTTCTAACAAAAGGAATAGACTTAAAAATACTCAAAACATCCTACACTGTAACAACACTAGTGGATAGAGAATCAAAATTGGGCAGGCTCAGGACAGTGATCCAAAGAACAGAGTTCAGATACAGTATGCTGCAACACCTTAAATTGAGACACCAATCCCATATACAGAATACAATTGGCAGAAGAGGTTTTATGGAAATTATGGAAGAGCGTACATGAAGCTTCCTTAACAATATGCCAGGCAAAGATTCTGCACTTCATTTTAAGCAGTCACATCCAGAAAGAATAAAATTGCCAGCAAATGGAAGTGAGGGTCCTGACACATGAAACGACAC